AAGTTGACTTGCTGGATCATATGGTAGTTCTATTTTTAACCTTCTGAGAACCTCCATACTGCCTTCCACAGTGGCTGCGACAATTTACATTCCCACCAGCAGCACACAGAGGTTCCCTTTCCTCCACATCCTCTCCAGCACTTTGCTGTGTCTTGTATTTTTGAAAAAAAAAAAAAAAAAAAAAGCCATTTTATCAGGTGTGAGTTGACATTTCACTGTGGTTTCAACTTGCATGTCTCTGATGATTAGTTATGTTGAGCATCCTTTCATATATTTGTTGGGCATCTGTATTGTCTTCTTTGGAAAAATATTGATGTGGATCTTTAGCCCATATTTTAACTGGATATTTTTTTTGCTATCAAGTTGTATGAATTCTATATATATTTTAGATACTAGTCCCTTATCAGGTATATGACTTGCAAACATTGTCTCCCGTTCAGTAGGTTGCATTTTCATTTTGTTCCGGTTTCCTTTGTTCTGCAGCAGTTTTTTAGTTTGTTGAAGTCCCATTTGTTTATTTTTTTCCTACTTGTTTATTTTTGCTTTTGGTGTCAGATTCAAAAAACCATTGCCAAGATGTTATGTCAAGGAGCTTACTGCCTATGTTTTCTTCTAAGAGTTTTATGGTTTCAGGTGTCTTTCATCCATTTTGAGTTAATTTTTGTGTATGGTGCAAGATTGGGGTAGATTTTTTATTCTTTGGCCATCCAGTTTTCCCAACACCATTTATTGCTTAGACTGTCCTTTCCCCATTGTGTGTTCTTGCCTTCTTTGTTGTAGATTGATTGACCATGTATGCATGGATTCATTTCTGGGTCCTCTATTTTGTTCCACTGATGTGATCTATGTGTGTCTGTTTTTATGCCGGTACCATACTGTTTTAATATTGTAGCTTTGTAATATAATTTGAGATCAAGGGGCATGATACTTCCAGCTTTGTTCTTTCTCAAGATTGCTTTGGCTATTTGGGGGGTTTTCTGTGTGTTTGGATCCATAAAACTTTGGGGGTTATTTGTTCTATTTCTTTGAAAATTGACAATGGAATTTTGATAGGGATTGTTTTTTGTTTTTTTAAAAATTTTTTTAATGTTTTATTTATTTCTAGGAGAGAGAGAGAGAGCGTGAGCAGGGGAGGGTCAGAGAGAGAGGGAGTCACAGACTGAAACGGGCTCCAGGCTCTGAGCTGGCACTCAGCACAGAGCCCGACGCGGGGCTCGAACCCACGAACCGCGAGATTGTGACCTGAGCGAAAGTCGGACGCTTAACCGACTAAGCCACCCAGGCGCCCCTGATAGGGATTGTATTGAAACTGTAGATTGCTTTGGGTAGTATGGATTTTTAATAATATTGAATTCTTCCATTCTATGAGCATGGAATATCCTCCCATATATTTGTGTCTCCAATTACTTTCATCAGTGTTTTATAGTTTTCAGTGTACAGGTCTTATACCTCCTTGGTTAAACTTATTCCTAAGTATTTTATGCTTTTCGATGCAGTTGTAATTGAGATTGTTTACTTAATTTCTCTTTCTGACAGCTCATTATTAGTATATAGAAAGGCCATAGATTTTTGTGTCTTGACTTTGTTTCCTATAACTTTACTGAATCCATTTATTTTAACAGCTTTGGTATGGAGTCTTTAGGGTTTTCTATATATACCATCTGCACATAGTGATGGTTTTATTTCTTCCTTTCCACTTTGGATGCCTTTATTTTTCTTGCCTCATTGTTCTGGCTAGGACTTCAACACTCTGTTAAAGAAAAGAGGTAAGAGTGGGCATCCTTGTCTTCTTCCTGATCTTAGAGAAAAAGTTTTCAGCTTTTCACTATTGAGTATAATGTTAGCTGTGGGTTTGTCACATATGGTCTTTATCATGTTGGGGTAGCTTCCCTCTGTACCTTCTTTGTTGAGAGTTTTTATCATAAATGGATGTTGAATTTTATCAAATGCTTTTTCTGCATCCAATGAGATGATCATATGATTTTTATCCTTCATTTTGTGATGTATGGGCACGAGTGCAAGTACGGAGATCCTTACTTCTCCGCCATCTTGCCCTCTCTCTTATCCTTCATTTTGATAATGTAGTATAACCTATTGACTAATTTGTGAACCATCCTTGCATCTTGGAATAAATCTCACTTGGTCCTGGTATATGATCCTTTTCATTTATTGTTGAATTTGCTTCTCTAATATTTTGTTGAGGATTTTGGCATCTATGTTCATCAGGGATATTGGCTTATATTTTTCTTGCGCATCCTTCTTTGGTTTTGGTATCAGGGCAGTGCTGGCCTTATAAAATGAGTGTGAAAGAGTTCCCTCCTCTTCCTTTTTTTTTTTTATTTTTTTGTTTGTTTTGTTTTGGAAGAGTTTGAGAAGGATTGGTATTAATTCTTCTTTATTGCACCAATGAAGCCATCTGGTCCTTGACTTTTTTATTTGTTGGGAAGTTTTTCATTTTGATTCAATCTCCTTAATAATAATTAGTCTGTTCAGATTTCCTGCTTCATCATGATTCAGTCTTGTAGATTGTTTCTAGAAATGTATCCATCTCTCCTAGATGTCCAATTTGTTGGCATAAAATTGTTTGTAGTGGTTTCTTATGAGCCTTATATTTCTGTGGTATCAGTTGTATCATCTCTTTCATTTATTTTTTAATGTTTATTTCTTTATTTTGAGGGAGAAAGTGAGCTTGGGGGATTCAGGAGGAAGAGAGAGAAGAGAGAGAGAGAATATCTGTGCTGACAGCACAGAGCCCCATGCAGGGCTCAATCTCATGACTGTAAGATCATGACCTGAGTCAAAATCAAGAGTCAAGAGTCAGACACTTAACCAAAGGAGCCACCCAGGCACCCCTGATCTCTTTCATTTCTGATTTGAGTCCTCTCCCTTTTTTTCCTAGTGAGTCCAGCTAAAGGTTTGCCGATTTTGTCTTTTCAAAGACCAGCTCTTAATTTCATTTATCTTCTTTATCGTCTTTTTAGTCTCTATTTCTTTCTTTCTGTTGTAACCTTTGTTATTGTCTTCAGTCTACTAACTTCTGGCTTTGTTTGTTCTGCTTTATGCCCTTTGTCCTTTGATTGTAATAACAACCTCTAAAGGAGTATCACAAACAATATTACTTTGGAAGGTTGTTGCAACACTTACAGGACATTGTCGTAAAACATGAAAGAGAAAACTGAGCTACAGGCAAATTTAATTACTTACCCAAGGTCACAAAGCTAAGGAGCGGTGGTCAAACCCCAAAATCAGGGCACACACTCAGCTACTGCAGCATATATAGGAAAACACCGTGGGGCAAAAAGAAAAAGAAACTAGCTCTACTTGGCTGAGTTTCGAGAAAAGGGATGGGATATTCAAAGAAGAGAAGGGATATCTGAGCTATGACTTGAATTGTGAGCAAGATTTGACACACCAGGGGGAAAAAATGAGAAGGGCATTCCAGAGCTATGGTAAAAGTGTGGGGTAAGTATGGGGACATAACAGAAGACATGACACATCCCAGAGTGAGCAAGCGTTCTTGTGTGCATTGTCTTCAGGCATTTTGACTTTGTGCTCTAGGAAGAGGGGAGAAGCTGAAGCATTTCAAGACTGAGGGGTGATATCATATTTATATAGAAAGCTAAAGCAAGAAAGGGAAACCAGACCACGTCGAGAAGAACCCTGACAAAGCGTGGGTATGACTTTCTGTGGTCCTTGATGGTTCAAATACGAACACTTTATGGAAAGGTGATGGAGCTGCCAACTCAGCATTTACCACATCTGTCTGTTGGGCAGTGGGGATTGGGGGAGTACAAAGCATTTAGGGGCCAGTGTTATCCTCTCCCCAAGTAAAGCAAGCAAGCTAGTATCTAAGAAAAGTCCTGAGGAGGCCAATATTGTTTTACAGCTTTCCCTTCTGTAGCCAAGTGAATATGCTTAAGGCAGATCACTTTTCGCTTTAGTTTTGCCTGATTCCCCAACCCCTGTAACTAAGATACTGCCTCCTTGAAACTGAACCACAAAAATACATTGGGAAAGAATAAAAATTCGAATTGTTCCAAACCGCTCCCTCCCCCACCCCCTGCCATGACGGTTCAGTTGTGGGGAGGAAGGATGGCAGAGTGCAGAGCTGGGTAAAACCACTGACTCTAGGGCTGGGTTTGAGCCCTAGCTCCACAGCTTACGAGCTCTTTGCATAATTTAATTTACTTTGATGAGCTTCAGCTTACTCCTTCATAAAATGGGAATAATAATTTTTACCTTCATAGAGCTGTAATGAATTAATAATGTATGTAACATGCCTGTTGCATAGTAGGCATGTTAGATACATGGAGGCATATTAATAAATATTAAGTTAATATTCATTAATTAAATTGGTGGTTATTAATTTAAAAACTCCGACTTCATTGACAATTGCAAATAAGATTGTGAGGTTCTGAAGAAATATTTTGACTACCCAAAGAAGCAGTGGATATATCCTATTTAAATAGTTAATGTTGCCTGCATCCCCGAGTGACTCATGTTCTTTGATAACCATCTCACTGAAGGGAATGAAACAGCTTGTATTGGTGCCAAAAGGAAAACCATGGAATTCTAATGTCAGTGTCAGGCTGACAGCGTCTGACAAAGCCTACAAAAGTGGATGAGATAGAAAGGCCAGAAAAGCTGTGTTCTTCCTCCAGGTGGAGGGAAAAATGCCATTTATTTGGAGGGGATATCACACATATAGGCAAAAGGACAGCAGAAACCAAGAATTAATAAATGGGGAAACAGGTTTAGCTGGGTTTGTCATTACTGGTAAAAAACGTGAGACCTTATTTTGTTACTCATAATCAGCTCAGCATCATGTTCAGTTGTCAGCATTATCCTTTGTTAGGTGCTTGAAGGACTTTTTCTTTTTTATTTGTTTGTTTGTTTATTTTTGAGACAGAGAGAGACAGAATGCAAGCGGGGCAGGGGCAGAAAGAGAGAAGGAGACACAGAATCGGATGCAGGCTCCAGGCTCCAAACTGTCAGCACAGAGCCCAAGGTGGGGCTCGAACCCACGAACCGCGAGATCACGACCTGAGCCAGAGTCAGACACGTAACCAACTATGCCACCCAGGCGCCCCTGAAGAACTTTTACTTAAATGGTTCATCAAACGGAACTTTGATGAAGAAAGAGGGAGAAGAGTTTTGATCAACCCTCTGTTGCATTTCCAGCTTGCTAGGATTGTTAAAAATAGGCAAGATAGCATATTTTGTCTCATTGTTCCTCAGTGTGTCCTTTGTCACACGGCCTTTGTTAAAACATGGGAAGGAACAGTGTGGTACCGTGAATCATACTAGCAGGATGAGCTGAGGTTGACTTCACCGTAGAGATGTTTACTTGACTGTTGGTTCCTCTCACTGAATACTGGATTCTTTCCCTATTTCTTTGTTTATTTATTTAGTCTAGTAACTCCATTTTTCTTTCCATTGGGGAGAGAGGAATTGTTTTTGCAATCCTAATTACAAGGATACAGTCTTCATATTTGATAGTTAACACAAGAATTACGATGTGAGGAAACGAATGTTCGTTAATAATCAGCATGATCACCCTATGTGTCACTTTAGCACTTTCACTTTTTGCCCTAGTTCTCCCTCAGATTTTTTAAAGAGTATGCCTTTACTTGTTAAAATGTTAAAAGTATATTCTAAAGAGTAGAAATCAGAGTAATAACATAATATCTAAAAACAAGATGTAGTACATCGGTATCCATAAAATTAATGGTAGCTCACAATTAAGGGGGGGCCAGGAGTTACCTTTTAAGCTTTGTGGTCATTACTTATCCCCCCACCCCCAAACCCCCCACCTTCACAGAGTCATTCACTTGCAGACCCCAAAGTTATAAGAAAATTTCACAGATGAGCACCTGAGTCTTGGAGAACTAAGACTTGCCTAAGATTAAACAGCCAGAAAATGACGGGTCTGGGAGTGTGGCTTTCCAGTGGCCTTTGCACTGTGGTTCACAGGGAACCATTCAAGGGCTACGCGACTGCATTGATGGAGGGACCTTGTCTTATTCATCTTTGTACCCAGCTCCTAGCACAAAACAGAATGGAACAAGGAGGTGACGTAACTAGTGCTATATTTTAGGAAGATAAATCTGGCAAGGATGAGTGGGATGAAAAGGACAGGAAAAGCTCGTGGTGTGGAGAGCAGTTTAGATGTTATTGCAATAATAAAGAACATTAACAAGATTAGGAGTGAGGAAGCAGCATTGAGATAGAAGCGACGCAAAGCGTGTAGAAGAGATGTAGCAAGACGGAGGCCATGGGCTTATGCCCGTGTGTAGACAGTGAGGAGGACCAGGGCTCTTGATAAGTAATCATTTATATAGCAGATACTTCTGAGCATCACCTCTGTGCAAGGAACTATTCTAGATGCTGAGGATACAACAGTGAATTAGGCAAACAAGGATTTTGCTCTCATGGACCTTATATTCTCATTGGAGGATATATTGATCAATGTTCTCCAGAGAATCCCACTATACTCCACTATATTATATATCATATGTATAAGTATATATATGAGAGAATTTTCAAGACATTGATTTTTCAAGAAATTGGCTTATGTAGGGATGGCAAGTCAGGAATCTGTAGGGCTGGCCTACAGGCTAGGAACTTGAGCAGAATCTGGTGTGGTTGTCTGGAGGCAGAATTTCTGCTTCATCGGGAAACCTCAGTTATGTTCTTAAGGCCTTTAACTGATTAGATAAGACCCACCTAGATGATTTAGGATAATCTCCTTTATTCCAAGTCAACTGATTGCAGATATGAACCAGATCTGTGATATGCCCCTAGATTAGTGTTTGATCTGAGTACTATAGCCTAGCCAAGTTGACCCACAAAACTAACCATCACAGGCATGTCAGAGTGAGCAGTGAACAGAGAGGAATGATTCAGGGTGTTAGAGAATAACTGTCAGCTCCTGGGGATTGGAGACAATGGAAAGACTTCTCTGTGTAAGTAGGTATATCTACATCTTTCAGATGGAGCATCCGAGACTTGGGGATATTAAGTGGCTTATTGAAGCTAAAACAGCTAATGATTGCCCTCCTTTCTGACTCTAGCATGTATGCAGGAAACACCACAGGGGCTGCCTCTCAAGAACAGTCAGAAGGATCAGAGTGTTTGACTTTTTCCCCCAGAGGAACACAGTGGGCGAGCAAGTTCAGATTCAGAACTTGTTTTCTGGGGCGCCTGGGTGGCTCAGTCGGTTGGGCATCCGACTTTGGCTTGGGTCATGATCTCACAGTTCATGGGTTCGAGCCCCATGTCGGGCTCTGTGCTGACAGCCAGCTCAGAGCCTGGAGCCTGTTTTGGATTCTGTGTCTCCCTCTCTCTCTGACCCTCCCCTGCTCATGCTGTCTCTCTCTCAGAAATAAATAAAAAATTAAAAAAAAAAAAAAAACTTGTTTCCTGAGTGCAGAGCCTCAACACAGGGAGGTCCATACTGCTTTTGGGGGACAGGGTGGCTTCATCCTGCTTTAGTCCCTCCCTCACTTCTGCCTGTGTCCAGCTCAGGGCTCTTGTGTCAGTCAGTCATTGTGCCTAGAATACCCTTCTTCTCCCCTCCCCTTCGTGTGGATCATGTCTGTGTAGCCCTCACGAAGCCCTTTGGCACTTCGTCAGGGAAATCTTCCCTGAGTACCCAAACGAAATAAATCTCCCAGGTATAAGCCTCCCCAGACTCCATATTCCTCTAAGGTGGTACTTAGCACTATTGTCATTAAGTAGTTTGTTTGTGTTATTTTATTAACCTCTGCTCCTCCTGTCCCACTCCCGAAGGGAAGGAACCAAATCACTACCATGCTGATTGCCAGTGTTGAGCACAGGTCTCAGCATTTATTACTTGTTGGATGAATGTATGGGTGAAAGAATGAATGACTGTGATATGTGTCTTTCAAGGAATAAATCTACAGGCATTCTAAACAACAATCTGGAAATATGATGACACCTCCAGGTTGCTACTCTTCTGTTCTAATCCTCAATCTAACCATATCCAGGGTACAGCTAACCCCATCCTTGGCTCATGGGTTCTTCTCAATTTCCATTTAAAAGGTGGCCCTTCCTGCACTCTTTCCTAATTTAGGGGTCCCTTTTAAGCATTTGGGCCTAAAGCCCTCTAACACAAAGAAAACGGTTAGAACTGATAGAAGGAAAGAAAACAAAGGTGAGAAAAGAGAGTAAACATATTCCAGGAAGATCTGCGAAGTCAGGAGTGAATGGAATGTCCTACAAAGCCTTCATACTTACAGGTGGTTCCCTATCTTCTTGCCACAGGCAGGAAGTTCTGAGTGCTTCTGCCTGTGGTCTGGAGTCTTGTGAGTGAGAGAAAAAGCTTCTGACTCGAGCAGTCCCTGATAATCTCTTGGGTTCTTGAGAGCCAAGTTGAATGAAAGGTCAATTAGGAAGCCCCCCTGCACCTCCCGCATGCCCCCCTCCTGCTGGCACGCAGTGAAGGCTCACAGGGGTGGCACATGAGAATGGCAGTGGAGTTAAGCACATCAGCTGTACAAACAGGAAAGGGTACAGTACCCTTCACTCTGGCTTCTGATTTGACAGCCAGCAGCCATAACAACATAAAATGTCATCTGTGTTGTTAAATGCTTCCAGGAGCTCTTTTGCCCTTTTGTGTGAGAGCCCAAATATTAATGGAAACAAGCCTTTATTTTGCAGTTGTCTTCTGACTGTGGAAAAAGAAACTTTGGATTTATTTACAAGTCGCAAGTTGTCCTGAAAGGTCTGTGCAGGCCTCCTCACTTCCATTCTTTCCATTAAGCATTCTTCCAATTGAGAAAGAGAAAAATCTCTCTGTGTCTACATTCTCTACGTTTTCTGAAACTTGGAAGGCTCCGTTGTGAATCATATAGGACAAGTCTGGGATCCAGACAGATTTTGACTAACCTAGCACAGGGTCTACCAGGAAGCTTACTGGCCCAGGAGCTAAGAGAGGGAGGTTCAAGTCTTGGCTGTGCCTCTGAGCAGTCGAGTGACCTTGGACAAGTCTCTGGGCTCTAGTGGACTAGGTAGTCTGTGCGGTGACCGCCACTCTAAGATGTATGGTTCTCATTGCAGGCATCTTTTCCACAAGTCCTGTGTTGACCCCTGGCTTCTAGACCATCGCACCTGTCCCATGTGCAAGATGAACATTCTTAAAGCCCTAGGGATCCCGGTAAGCACAGCACAGCCTCCAGCATCGTAATGTGTGTCTTTCTGCATCACCCCGAAAGCAGGGAGAAAACATCACACCTGGATTTTCTATGAGGCCCTCATCTTCATGGCAGAGCCATCATCTACTGAGGCCCCAAGGGAACAGCCATGTCTGAAATCTCTCTCCTCTCACTTTTTCTCACTCTGAGAACATCACAGCCCTCTCACCACATCCATGTCTGTGAATCGAGGTGCTGCTTGTGCAGCTCATAGGCTTCTCATCTAGGCTGCAGGGTGTGAGTGTAGGCAGGACACAGCAGAGGCTGGATGGCCTGGTCACACAGTGATCACCTCCTGTGTCATTACACACTGTCAGGAAGGAGATCTGCATGCTGCACTTTCCGATATTGCCCTACGACCGTCTAGCTTTCACTGGAAAGGAGCCCTTCCAGACAACGGGAGGGAAGGACAGCCACTAGGAACCTGGCCCAGAGCCTTTGCTCAACACAGATCTCTGCAGAGACCTTGAGGGAACAGGAAACCAGACCCAGAGCCACTGAATTCTGGCACTACCATCCAGCTGGTGCCCTCCATCATATGTTTATAAAATTTAGTCTCTCCCCCCATGCAAAGAGAATCCCACCAGCTGGCTGGCTTGATGCTCCAGGGAAGGACTTTTCCCAGAATTGTATTAAAGTGAAGCCCATGAGCTGGTAGTTGGTGAGACACCAGCTGCTGTGGTGAGGGCAGGAAGCAAGCCAGGCCACCAAATCCAAGGGCCGCACAGAGATGTGAGAAGAGACTAGGCAAGAAGCTAGAAGAGACTAAAAGAAGCTAGACAAACAGGATACAGAGACCAAATTCGCCCCCCCCCCATTCCCTCCACTTTGCTGCAGCCTCTCTGTTGTCAGTTCTCACTACTGATGGCAGAGAATAAAAAGAATGTTAACAATCCCAAGATGTCACTGAAGAAGAAAGGATCAGATCAGATATCAAAGATTTCCTTAATGCCAAAATGCTAATTACGCAGGACTATCAGAGGGACTCTGTTGGGGAGGGCACACCTGAAGCATTAGGAGGTCATGCATTAGGTGGAGAATTTTCTACCCTGTACCAGCTGCCTCGAGGCAAGCTGTGTGCTGTTTTTCATGGTTGATACACCAAACACAAATCAACTTGTGTGATGGTAGCTTCGAGCTAGATTTTGAAAAGCAATGCATTAAATTTTCAGACCACAGTTGCAAATGCATAATGCATTCAAGGTGAAAATCAATTACAGTGACCATGAAATATTAGTAAGAACCCATCATCTCTACCAGATACTAGGAGCTTAGAAAATCAAACTCAAGGTTTGCACTTTTCAACCGGTTCATGCAAGGGAGGTGGGAAATGTATGTATGTGTGTGCTTGCATATGTATATGTTCTCTTACATCTCCAAAACCTTTAGAATGCTTACAATTCAGGGTAGACAGCCACATTATTTGCCCCAGTTACTATTGCTCAGGATATTTTCCAAAGGCCCTAAATGTTGATCCCAGTGCTTCTTGGTCAGGACAATGAAACCGAAACACCTCTGGTGGTTACGTTTTCAACTAAATAGCATTTGACTTCAGACTTTTCCAGAGGAGCTAAGCCTTCTCCAGAAGCTACTTGAGAATGAGTTGACAATACAAATACTGTTTTCAAAATAGAATTGTTGAGTGGTGTTTGGGCTTATTTCCAAAATTAAAAACATTTTAACTTTTAGCAGTTGGGCAATTTGTACATGGGTTCATGCCCACCAAGTACAGGTGGGATTTTACTCACCACACTTGACTTCCAGAAAAATAAACACTGGTAGCGTCTTTTCAGTTTTGCCAAGGATTCCTAAAGGGCAGCTGCATGGGAACATGACACACATCTGAGCTCGCCCCAGAGAACAGAACATTCTCCAGAAAGAAGAGAGCATGTGGGGCCGCTTCTCAGGAACCACCAAGGCGTATGGCTACCCTCACGCCTCCCCAAGGCTTTTCTGGTTATGTCCTAGAGGATGATACTGACGTCTGGATCTGGGAGGAATTGGGGATATGATTTCACTCCATACTTTAGCACTGGGTAGCACCAGGCCTAAACCATACCAAAAAGATGATTCTTTATTGCATTCGTATAACTTTCCATGTCCCTGGACAAGTTCACAGCCTTCTCAATTAGTAAACACTTCAGCTCACTGAAGCCCTCTTTATGCAGCCTAAAAATGTTATTTTATAATTTTTCTAAATCCCTTATACTTGAGTCTTAAGGAAAAGTGAAAAGAGCTTGTCAGTCTCTAACAATTAGTGCCTGGTGTTCTTATCTCTGTATCCCTTTCATGCTGCTGAGGGTTCAATAAACATCTGTGGTGCTGTTGCCCTTCAGAGCCAGAAGGCTGCCAGTCACAGAATCATATTTACGAAGTTCAGTCTGGTCCTCCTTTGGACGGTGTCCACTCACCACTCATCACTTGGTTATAATGTCAACGAAATGGTCCAGATACAGGCAGTAAGGGTTTTTTGGCTTGTTTCTGGTTTTTGTTTTTAACTGAGTATCCTTGTGGCTGTCTGTGCTATCAGGCATACCACACATAAGCTGAAGGCTGAGAGCTGGGGACGTTTTCATTTTGTCAAGTGGCTTTTTCTAAAACGAGCTGAAGAATGAAAGCACAGCTTGAGGATCATGAAATTCCCATTATAGTGGGTATCTTGGGTATCTTTTATTTTTTTATAATATTTTGCCAAGAGAAATAAGATACTGAATTGAAAAGGAAGAGGGAGGTCTTCACTGTCAGAAGTGTTTTCATCCCTTTATCTACACAACAGAGCCTCGCCCTCAATTCTCTCCAGTCAGGTGTAGGTGAGTCTTTGTAGAACGACAGAACACAGATCTCAGGGAGTGCTCCTCTGAGGAGTACCGTATCACCCAGGCTGTTCGTATCCCCAGCAGCGAACCCCTTCACCTAGTGCTATTGTCTTGATATGAATGGGATGATAGTTCTTGAATAGGAAATCCCATGTCGCTGGGATACCTCTAACTTCTAGAGGTTGGTTTATTTGAGGGGTTTCCCCCGTGCTGACCTGAATTTGAATACCTATGCAGTGTTCACTTGCAGATGGTATTTGATATCTTCTGCTAAACATTATGACTATAATTAGAGGTATATAAATTGGGTCCCTTTTCAAGAACATTCTTCTCTTGGATGAACCACTTAGAGTGGATATAAACTGTGAGTTTCTGTAATGTTTGGTCTATGACATATTATACCTAAGCCACATTATTCATGCCTGCCACCATTAACAGTCTCACTGAGCTAATTAGCTCTTTTTCTTTCCTTCTGTTAAAAATATAATACCATTCCTACTAGCCCACAAAGTAAAAGGGAACACTCTGCTTCAAAATTAATAACTTTTTTTTAAAAAAAGAAAAGAAATAAAATGAAGAAACAGTATCAACAAGCGAAGTCAACATTTTGAAAACTATGTCAGTGGTTTAGCATATGTGATTGTGTTCAGATGCCTCTGGAGGAAAGACCAACCGGCACGGTATTCTCATTGTGAAATCTATCCTTCCCTGACACCCCTCCCCCCATACAATTGGTTTTGCTTATAAAGGTTTTTATATAGTGTAGGGGAAAGGAAAAAAATATTTTCCCTTCTATCCTCCCAGGTTCTCCAGAGGAGGCCCTATAAATGAGACTGGCAAAAGATAAACACGAGAAAAATAACCAGACGTTTATTAACATGTGCACTGCACAAGCACGTGGGAGCACTTAGGGATGAGTAAGTCAAAGGGGCGGGCAGAACTTGGACATACAGAGCACCTTTACAAAAAAACAAATTTTTACAGAAGTGACCAGACAAAGGACCTTGCGTTTCTGGGGCAGCAAATTGTGGGAAGGTACATATATGAGGGAAACTAATGGCAGAGAAGAGCGTATTAGTTAAGGTGTGTTATTACAGATCCATTTTGGTGCCAACTGCCAGTCTCTGGTGATCAGAATGTTCTTCTCTTCCTAGTACAGAGAGGGGGCCACCTTTACCAAATGTCCTACTTTTAGGCAGATGGGAGGAGGACGGAGCACATTTCTTTATCTGCTTCTTCTCAACTGTCTTTAGCTCAAAATAATCCTTACGCCAACAGCACATTTTGGGGTGGCATATTCTGCTATCCTTGAATAGCATACCTTACCTTCACACAGAACTTGACAGCTTTTAAAGCATTTTCTCAAATCCCCCCTTAACTGATCTAGGGCAGATACTAACATTCCCAACTTTTCATAGTAGTAAACTGAGACCCTAATAAAATCGACATTTACTGAGAGCACCTTGTAATTGTCAGACACTATATGAGGGCTTGGAAATCAAGATCAACGTAATGTAGTTGTTTCACTTTAGAAAGCTCCTGTCTTACTTGTATGTGGAATCTGAAAAACTGAACTCCTAGAAACAAAGAACAGACTGGTAGTTGCCAGAGGTTGGGGGTTGGAGTGGGGGTGAAATGGGTGAAGGTGGTCAAGTTATAAATCAGTCCTGGGGATGTAACATGCAGCATGGCGACTGTAGTTAACAATCTTGTTTTGTATATTTGAAAGTTACTAAGAGAGTAGATCTTTAAAGTTCTCATCTCACATACACACACACACAACAAACTTGCAACTCTATGAAGTAATGGATGTTTGCTGAACTTAGGTGTTAATCATTTTGTAGTATATATGTATATCAAATCATTCTGTCATACAACTAAACTGATACAATGTTACATGTCAGTTATATCTGAATCAACCTGAAGGGAGAAAGCTGGTGGACTGGTAGAGTGAGACAAGCACAGTTACAAGTAAACCATAACAAGGAGAGAGATACCTACAAAGTATCACAGTATCAAACATGCTGCCTGGGAGACTATCATCCTGGGAGGGAACACTACCTAGAAAAGGTGATGGTTGGCCTGAGAATTGAAGGATGATTCACCACAGGTAGGTTGAGACCTTGGGATGGGGAAGGCAGTGGGGGTGATTGCGGCTCATCAGAGGAACAGCAGAAGCTACAGCACTGAGATAGGGAATATATGGTGTTTCCAAAGGCTGAAGTGAGGCCAGAAAAGCTGGCTGCCGTGAGGCTGTAGAGAGCCTGTTTTGCCCTACTAAGGAGCTTATAATTTGTTCTCTAAGAGAAAAGAGGAATCAGGGGCACCTGGGTGGCTCAGTCAGTTAAGTGTCTGAATCTTGACATCAGCTCAGATCTTTACTTCAGAGTTCAAGCTTCGTGTTGGGCTCCATGCTGGTTATGAAGCCTACTTTAAAAAAAGAAAAAGGAAGAAGGAGAATCAGACCTGTGTTGTTGTTGTTGTTGTTGTTGTTGTTGTTGTTGTTGTTGTTTTTAAAGATTGCCCTGTTGAGAAAGTAGAGAATGGAATATACCAGGGGAAGAAACTGTAAGGAAATAGGGCGGCTGGTAATGGGGTGGGAAAAATTCATAATATAGCTTATGTCCAGTATCACAATCTCCAAATTTCATAAATATGGTAGGTTGGTCATTCAGTGAACTGACTTTTGGTAACTTGAGTTTCAGTGAATTGGCTCACTTTCAATAGAGATGGAGAAGATGAAATAAAGAGAGAATACAGAGAAAGAGGGAATGAGCCGAAATTGAGATTTTTGTGAGTTTGATGGAAATTTCCAACTGACTATTGCAAACACAGATGTGGAGCCTGAGAGACTGGTTTAAGAGTAGAAAATCAGGACAAGGGTCCCCTGCTTTGGATTTCTTGCTTTGTGCTCCCAATGAGTCCAGGAGCTATGGATTCTCCCTTTGGGTGAACTTTGAACACAGTGTAGTCACTGTGATGTTAATTCAGTCAATGCCAATCCAGAATTTTCTTCACCTAGTCGTACCTATCCTCTTCTGCATCCATTGGGAGTGCAAAACCACAGGACTATCATCACTCAAAGCAATGTTGGTATTTAGACCAAGCTATTCTTAGTATTTCTCAAGACCAAATCTCTGCAACACTATCTTTTTAAAATAATCTTTATGAGTTTGGGTAGAGACATAACAACTGAAAATCATTTTAAAAGCTGTTTATGGAGGAGATATAAATATATTCAATATCATTTAGGCCAAAGAGAAAAATTTGCAAAGAGAAAGATTTTGCCCAAAGATAGAATAGTCTGACAAAGGCTGGCCAACACAGTCTGTATTGCAAAGTAGGGAGCTCCCCGTTTCTATGTTGTTCAGGTGGGGGCTGTCAGATCTGGAAATGAGGGGTCCGGAGGGAGGGGAAGTCTTGCAATGAGTGGATAGTCAAACTAGACGATCTCCTTAGTTTCATGATTCTAAAATTTTAATTGAGAAGATTTGACCAACATGTGATCGGTTTGCATGTTAAGTAAATAGGGCATTTTTTACAGCTGGTTTTTGCCTGATGTTTAACCACCACCATAACAAAAATAGCCTCACCCTGTGCTTTTGTGTGTATCTCTATTAAACAATTCACCATGAGTCAGATTCTGTGCCCCCTCCCTACTCTCCTGTCATCAGTGCATACAAACAATACATGAGTCTTTGGGAGTAATTATCAGCTGTCACCTACCTCCTATATGACAAGTGAACACTATATACAAGGGAGAGTTATCCTTATAAATAAATATTATGTCCCCCCCTCCCAGTATTCTACTAATGTATGAATATTGCTTCTCCCGGAATTAAAACATTAGATCTATTTGGAAACTTTGGAAAGGAAATTTTGGAAGATGTTTTCATGTTAATTACAGAAACTATAGTGGAATATTTTTTTTACGTGATTCAGGAGGAAAACAGTAAAGAACTCAGTTTTCCATTGAGACAAAATATTCAGGCTGTAAACATTTCATCTCTAACTTGATGACAAACACTAAGGAGACATCCTTTTCTCCTCATTATCAGCCTAATGCCGACTGCATGGACGACTTGCCCACCGACTTCGAGGGGTCTCTGGGAGGCCCACCCACCAACCAGATCACAGGCGCGAGTGACACGACTGTAAACGAAAGTTCCGTCACTTTGGACCCTGCTGTCCGGACAGTGGGAGCCTTGCAGGTGGTCCCGGATACAGATCCCACCCCGCAGGAAGGAGAAGTCATCTTTACCACCAACAGTAAGTCCTGCTCCGCTCCGAAGCACCATAGTCCACAGGGCTGTAGCCACATGGGAAATAGAAAAAGACATTTTTCCTCAAGAAGTTAAAAAAAAAAACAACCCAGTATAATATTGCCAGGCTGAACAGTCATACTTGATAGGCCCTTAGAAGCCCAGCGCTTTCCAAAGCCAAGTGGGCGGGCAACAGACCTGGCTGTGCCTCTGGGCTGCCCTAACACAGACACTTCTGTGCTCATGAAAGCATGAGTGTCCTAGCCCCATGGTCCCTGGCGTGGGCAGGGCGGTGGCTCTGGTCTCTGAGAGTGGTGAGAAAAGCAGCTGCAGGGGTTGCTTAGCAGGACTGGATAGGGCACAGCCCTGCTCACTGTGTGTGTGTGTGTGTGTGTGTGTGTGTGTGTATGTGACAGAGAGAGAGAGAGAGAGAGAGAGCCCTCTGGAGTGGCTGCATGAGCCAGGCTGGATTGCCCTCCCCTGTTGCTGCAGGATGCAGATGTAAATTACATGGCTTGAGATGGCTGCTTTTACAGTACAACCTAATTCTCCGAACACAGTGGCATATTAAACTATCTTCAGGATTCTTTCCCCGTCTTCTGCATATACTGTACTGCTCTATTTGATGATAGTCATAAAAATATTAAAGGGCTGTATTAGCATTAAGATTGAAGTTAAACCTAAAGTATCTAGTCATCAGTCTTATACAGCAGAGATGAAAGCTTCAGGAGTTCTAAGAAAATCAGCATGCAAATTAACGTTGGTTCAAGGTTTAAAGGGTGGGTGGATATTGAAATTTTAAAGTAAGGTGTATTATCTCTCTTGATAGAAGTAACCTATTTGCTGTAGAAAAACTGGAAATGGAGAAAAGTAGATTAAACCTTTTGGGATATTTCCTTTTAAGTTGGTCTTTTTTTTTTTTTTTTACATATTTGTGATATTTGTAGACTTTATAAAATCATTCATGCTGAAATGTAAAGAGATGCATTTTTCTGATGAAGAAATTAATTTAGACCTTGTTGTTGAAAGATTGAAACATGAAAATAATAAAAAAAGGATGAAAAAATCGCTCAGTACCCCATCTAGAAATAATCACTCTTAACATGTTGGTGTATTTCCTGATAGACTTTACCATTGAGACAGTAAAATAGGGGGTTGAATGTTGATAGCATTATAACTGTAGAACTCCCAGAGGACCTCAGCAGAAAGTAATTTCAAGAGGAACTTGGTGGCAAATATCTGTCAATGCATAGTTCATTACTTTTGTGTGGTTAAGAATTTTAACTCTGAAAACCTGACTTTTAAAGGCATAACAACCTTAATATTGAAACAATGATCATTAAACACTACAAGTCCTTAAAGACAAATTTCCAATCCCTTTGTTTTGAAGGTCTAGGGAGGTGCTATCCCGTATTAATATAATGTAAGTCACATATGTAATTTCAAATGTTCTATAGTCATGGTAGAAACATAGGTTAAGTTTGTATTTTATTTAACCCAATATACTCAAAATATTTTACATTCTTTCTTTTTTATTAGCTCCTCAAAGTCTGATGTGTTACAGCACATCTCAGTTTGAACCAGCCACATTTCAAGGGCTTAGGAGCCACATGTGGCTAGTGGTTACTATACTGAAGAGCACAGATCTAGCATGCTAGTTATTTAGGGATAGACAAACCTTAAAAGTAATTTAAGCTTTACCATGATAAACTTCTCATTTTTAATTGTGGCCCAGAAGAGTAAGTGACTGATGTGGGTCAAACAGTAAGTTTCCTTTTCAGAGTACAAGATTAGCCCATAATTTTCCCATTTACATCTTGGATTACCATTGGACATTTCACTGTTCATTGTCTAGGTGAACTATATTGGAAAGCCTGATAAAATTTTGCAAGCAGTTCAAAAACATTGAAGGTATGAGGTTTTTTCGAGCCCATAAGAAGAACCAAATCAAGGGGCACTTGGGAGGCTCAGTCAGTTAAGCATCTGACTTTGCCACCAAGTTCCTCTTGATTTTGGCTCAGGTCATGATCTCATTCATGGCCATGTGACTGAACCCTGCATCAGGCTGCACATTGAATGTAGAGCCTGCTTGGGATTCTCTTTCCCCCTCTCTCTGCTCCTTCCCTGCTCTAAATAAATAAATAAATAAATAAATAAATAAATAAATAAACGTTAAAAAAAAAAGAACCATCAAATCAAAAATGGATCATTTTCCTTGCCATAAAATACTGTGTCATTTTTAAGGAAAAAAAATGTGTCCTCTGTGAGATTCCTTGTTTTTCAAAGTGGATACATACTTCATACATCTCTATAAAGCCCAGATGACAAATGAGAAGGCATAGTTTGTGGGCTAAAATACATCCAAAAATGAAATACAGAATCATGGTCTGTTCCCACATATTTAATAATCCCTAAACTGCTTTTGCCTAAGATAGACTCAGAGTGTAGGGTCATAGCAGGCATTCAGTAGATATGTAGGAGCAGGGAGCTGAGATGCCAGGTCATTTCAAAGCAAGATACTGGTAAATGTGAGGGGAAAAGGCCCGAGACCACATGTGTAGTCAGAAGACTTAATGGTTGGTGTGCACGAATATGGCTAGAGATCTCAGTCTCATAGGACACAAACTGAGTTAATTCTCAAAATAGTTTTGGTAGACCATTTATTTCTGATTAGCTTTCTTTATTGGGATTTAACAGAATATGCCAAACGTAGTCATTCTGATTAGGTATTAATTGTTTATATCATTAACCAGCTGTAGATTCCTTACGAAGAAAATCCTGTGCTGTATAAAAGTTTTGAAATCGCCTAGTGCCCTAACTCAAACAAATAGTCCATAAATGAACAAACACAAATTTACAGATTAATAGATGAAGAGATTCAAGCCCTCATCAATCCTGTTATAACCAACCCTAATGCTGCCTAAAAATAACATGGATGGAGAATTAAGTGTGGTTGGAAATCACAAATAAAGAATCCAGTGGAGGTTGGACATAACTTTTCTTCACATCATCCTTTCCCACCTCACATCTCTACAATCCAGGAAATTACTAGAAGATGAGGAAATAACAGTAGCTAACAAATACATCACACCACTTGTGCACCAGGCACCCTTTTAAGCCCTTTATATATACAACAACCCTATGAAGTAAATATTATTTTTATTGTCATTTTACTAATGCAGTAATGGAGGCACAGAGGGATTAAAGTAACCAAGCCAGGGTCCTAAGTAGCGGCAGGTGGAGGCAGAATTCAAAGGAGTCTCTAGGTCCAGATCCCCACGCTTAGCTACCCTATGCTCAGAGTATGAGCAAGGAGAGAAAATAAACACTGTCGCTCACACCCTTCTCATTTATTTATTCCTTTTCTCCATCTTACTGAATCTCCAAAAGGTCAAAAACATGTGTAGTTCCTACTTGCTTCCTCATCCTACCTCTGTTCTTCCTTTCTGGCAAATAGCGTTGGTGTGTGGTCCATCAAACGCATGTAAAAGTCATTTCAGCACTCAAGGTGGGGAAAGCATAGAACAGATTGCCTCTAGCGTGAAGATGGAAAAATCTGGCATTAAAGGATCATCTCCAGTTCATAGGAAAGGAAAAAAAGAGAAGCATTTACACAGCAAAGGAAACCCAGGCTCTTTGCGGGTCTGACATTTGGGAGGAAGATGTTCCCATGTGCATGATCTTGAATGTTTCTGACATTCTGCCTTTTACAACCTCACATGGCAGTCCCAAATCACAGCATTTCTCCTGCACCTTAGTGCAAGGGCTCATTTTATGAATGTTCTGATGTCACTCACCAGTCTTTATCTGCACCCGAAACAGACATTGCCTTCTGACTCCCCAGGCCCAGGCTGCAGGTTTTGGGATTTTCTTCAGCAAGGAAAAATAGTTCCTGAGGATCAAAGGAAAACACAGCTGAACCACCAAGCTCTGTGTGTTTGCAGACTCCAGGGAGGAGCGAGAGAAAGACACAAAAGAAGAAAATTCTATTACTTCTCTGCAGAAACATACAGGGCCACTCCACATCTTCTCAGGAGGGTCTGAAACCTTCCCTTAATTTTCAAAGAAGCTGTCCATTTCCCTTATCAAATCACAACACTATACAAGCCCACTAGCACTCTAGGTCCTGACCCATTTGCCACTCCTCCTACCCCCAAGAAAAAGCCAGCTTTCAGCCCTGGGCTGGGGGTGGGGAGAGTGGAGGGTGGGAGGGTGGAGGGAGCTGGGAGCTAGAAAGAGACATGAAGATGGACAAAATCAAGACATCCTAAAGCTGCCCCTGTACCTTCTGAGCACATGCCAGAATATGTTTGGCCAGGAGACCTGGTCTTTCAACTTCACAGAAGGAAGCATGGATTATGATGTACTACATGTGAATTATTATGTACCCGGCTAGTTGAAATGAACTGTGGTATGGGATTCCTCTGGGAAACTTCCTCTGCTAACTTTCTATCAAGTCAGATCCTTGGGGTAAACAGAGTGTATCTAATGTATTCAGCAAACATGATTTGTGATGTGTTTAAAATGCATCTTTATTTTTGCTTCACTGCCATTTCATATAATATTCTCCTGCCCAGGATGAAAACTCCAGCAGGCCTAAGAATTTTCTGCTCACTCTTAGGTCACTGACAGTTCTAAAAGTCTCTTAAGGTCCCAGCTATAGACAGATCTTTGTGCAGGGCCCTTTTCCTTGTAATTGCCATGACTCAGGACAGGCGGACCTCTTGCTGACTCTCAAGGCTCCCCGCAGCCCCTGTGCATCCAGCAGTCTGTTTGCAGCCTCGGTCTGCTGAAGTGCCCTTACCCCCCAGACCCTTTCGGCTAAGACCCAAGTGGAGCCCAGTCCTGTTATTTCTCTGATGGGGCAACCTCTGCAACACACATCACCCGCTGGGTTGTAGAGTAGTTCTATTTTCAATTTTTTGAGGAGCCTCCATACTGTTTTCCAGAGTGGCCGCACCAGTTTACATTCCCACCAGCAGTGCAAAAGAGATCCTCTTTTTCTGC